TCTTACTTAACTCTGCTTCTCCTTCATTGTTCTAATGACCCCTTCTCCCAAGAATGGCCCCAGTTCTTCTGACTTGGACACAAACTCAGCTAACTTGTTTGCTCTGTTCTTTCCCCCACAATGGCCATCTTCAGTGAAAAGAGTAAAATCTTGCCTCAGAATTTGCTATCTTCAAAGATACAGTGTCTTTCTCTTTTTCTCGCCTTTCCTTTACCCTCACATGTCATTGTTTCCTGCAACTATTTCAGCTTGTCTCCTTATCTCACAGGGTCTTTGGAAGGCTAATCAAAACAGTATTAGCAAATACATGTTGATCACTTATGTGCATTGTGCCAGCCTTTCACCTTTGTAACCACATTGAATCCTTCAGACCACACTGTGAGACTTGGTGATATCAGATGGGGTTTAGAGAAGTGACGTGACTTACTCAAAGTCACACAGAGACTGAGTGCCTGAGCTGTGACTGAGCCCATGCCTGTATTTTTCCCCCCCTCTAGAGTTGATTCTGGTAAATTCTGCTGCCTCCTAGGGTAGAACATGGCACTAGTAGGGGACATTAGAATATTTCCTTCTTTCTCTCTTTTTTCTACTCATTACCTCTTCCCCAGTGTAAATTCACATGAATGCTAGGTTAGTCATTGGTTCCCTCACTGCCTGTGAGAAACAGCTGTAAGTTTTGATGCATGGTTTACACAGCGTGGTAGAAAAGACAGTGAGTTCCAAGTGGGTTCCACTCCTGGCTTTGTTGCTAAACTTGTGCTGTAATGTTGGACAAGCCATTCAGCTACTAGGCCCGAGTTTCTTCATCAGCCAAGTGAAAGGTTTGGTTGATAGTTTCTACATTTTTTGTGATTTTGTTGTTCTGCCTTCCCTGTGTTGTTTCCTTCATTCTGTTAAAAACCCTTTCCTCTAGACTTTTTCTGCTGCACTCAGATCAAGCCAGATCCCTGTTGGTTGCCTTTTCTGCTTCCTGCCTTCTCTGAATTCCATCTCCTTCCAGGCTGTCTTTTCTCCAGCACAAAGCTGGTCTTCTTTCAACCCTTCCTAGGCATTTCCAGGCTTGGATCTCTTGTATTGTTGCTTTTCTCTTTGCAAATCTTGTCTTTCAAAGTTGGTAACACATCCTTGAAAGGCTGAGTAGCTGCCTTTCCCCCCATCCCACCCATTTTAATGTTCTGTTTGTCATTTTATGTTGTTTGTCACTTTATGTTGTTCTGTTTGTGATTCTAAATGCAGTAGATGTTTGAGAAGTAACTGTCAACTGATTACAACTCAACTCTATCTGAAGAGTAGAGTTTACCTATCTGAAGGCCACCAGGGGAATTTGAAGAACAGACTAGCATCAGGACAGACATTCCCTCCAGAAATGACTGGAGGGGTAAAGCTGCAAGCAGGTTGGTTATGAGCAGTGCATGAATCCCTGAGGGCCTGACAAGACATGAGGGCAAGACGGGAAGTATAGGACTACTCTCCTACTAGGACGGGGCCCGTGCAGTTCTGTGAGCACATTTCATATTTAAGGCTGTAAGGTAAGGTCTGCGTTGGCCCTGCTGCTTATCCACGGAGCTCGGAGCACTGGTAAGCAGCTTGTTGCCCAATCCCAGTGCGTGATGGAGCCTGGGAAATGCTGAGAAAAGTGCGATCACTTTCCACCTGGAAATTCCACTTAAGAGAAAAACCCATCCTACGCAGAACCCAACCTCCACTTCGGGGGCAGGTCCGGGCAAAGAATTGGGCCTGGTGGGAAGGACAAAATCGAAGGAAAGAGAACTGGTGAGTTTGACATCTGTAAAAACGTGGCAGGGGACGAAACAAGGGAGGCTGTCGCCCTCCTTAGTCTCAGGGAGACACGTCAGCTTGAGCTCCAGCAATTTTGGCCCGCAGTCCCGCGGTCCCGGGATGGGTGGCGGCAGCAGGAGACGGGCTCTAGGGCCCAGCGCGGGGCTCGGAGCGGGGTGGGGTGTAGGGTTACAAGCCCGGGCGGGGACCCTCGCGGGCGCGCGGGACGCTCTAGGACCCAGCAGCGGGTTAGGGTTTGGGACTGGAGGTGAAGCCCGGCCTTTCTCCTCCCGTGTGAATGGGGCTGCACGCCATGCCCAGCGCGCTGCCCTGCGGCAGCCTTTCCCCCGCCGCGGGACTGAACTAGTCATGGTCGCCTCATGTGGAGGGCAAAGTTGCGCCGGGGAACTTGTGAGCCTGCGGTGAAAGGTAACTGGCCCGCTGGGTTGCAGGGAGGGCGCCCCTTTTCCCACGCGGAGAGCCCAGTGTTCTGGGGAACTGCCGGGCTGAGATCCGCCCGGCTCCAGATGTTGCTCCCGGGCATTGGGTTCGGTGCCGAGGCTGCCACGGGACCCAGATTGCTGGGGCGGGGATGGGGGGCGCAGAGCCCGGATTTAGTGCCACTCTTCAGGTCCCCCTGCCACCCTCCATCCAGGTCTCTGTGCCACCTTGGCCCTCGGGGCCATCCTGGTCCCTGTGTCACCCTCCAGGTCCCAGTGCCGCCCTACGGGTCCCCTTGCCACCCTACGGGTGTCCGTGCCTCCCTGGCCCTCGGTGCCAGCCTCCAGATCCCCGTGCCTCTCTGGCCCCCTTGGCCCTGGGCCCACGAAGGCCGGGAACTCGTCGCTCGCGGGTCCCGCGCAGTCTCCGGCCACCGAGGCCTCTGCCCGCCAGACAAAGGCCCGGGGCGCCGGGGCGCGGCCACCGTCCCTGCCCTCCCGCCGTCTCGGCTCCGTCCGGCAGCTAGCGACGGAGTCGCGCCCCAGCCCTGGCTCGGGCCTCGGTAGCCGCTGCTCCGTCTTTGTTCTCCCAGCCGAGTTTCTGGGACTAAGCCTGAGTTGGGACTAGCTTCCCCAGGCCTCCCTGCTGCCTTTCACAGAGCCTGGGTCCCGCGGAGGTAAACTTTCCAAGTGGAGCTGCTTTGCCTGGAAGGTGACGTTGGCGGCAGCCCCGGGACCCGCGCTGGGCCGGGGCTGGCACTGGACGCGCCGCCGGCCGAGCGCCCCTCGGTCCCCAGCCCGAGAACCCGGACCCGCTCTGCCGTCTCGGGTGGAGACGCGGAAGACGTCCCGCTCCCATTTTGGTCCGAAGGTTTTCGCCTTTGTGTCTTAGTGTGAGTGAGTTTGTTGGTCCCGCATGGCAGATCCAGCCAGCATGTGGATCACCTGGACTGGGCTTCGGGACACGGACCTGATCCCGCCAGCTCAGGAGGCTTCGCAGTTTGGACCGTACATTTTGCCGCCGTCCCTCTGCTGCCCTACTCAGTGCCGCCGTGGCTGTCGGTTTTCTTCCTCTGAGGCACGTTAGGCTGGTGGTGGGGTCGTGGGTCTTGAGAGCCATTTGTGTACCTCCGCGGTGCTTTTGAACACCCTAAACAATGTTGTTAACTTGTTGCCACAAGCAAATAAAACCAGAGAGAGAGAGAGAGAGATAATAATAGCTACAATTCCAGAAACCTTCCTTCCTTTTCGGGGAGCAAAATGTCAGGGCTTGAAATAGTGAACAATCATGGCTCCTTGCTTCCAAAACTGGGCTGTGAGTCCCTGCCAAACTGGCTAAGATTTCCCCAGCTGCCTACCACTCCTGGCCTCAGGCCGCTGTGCGCTGCAGATCCAGGTTCATGGTTTAAGGGGCTGATGGGTTTGCAAGTTCTTGAAGAATTTCAAGGAGCATAAAACCTACTTCCTAGAACGGTGCGCTGACCACTATGGGGTATCTATCTGCTATGTAAGATTTTATGATGTGGGAACAATAGTTAGATACATTTTGAAGGAGAGTAAAGATAGAGAAAGCTACGATTTGACCAGGATGAGAGGGAGTGGGAGTTCAAGAAGGCCTGGGAGCTCTTCGCCTGGTGGCTGTGCCTGGTGGGCGGCAGGAGGTGGGGTGGGGGGAAACGATGAGTTCCTGGATGGGCATGTGTTTGCTTTTGTGTGATACATTTTTCAAGACAAGTAAGGAAACCCTTGTACACCTGCAAGTGAACAGGAGCAAAAGAAGGTGCTGCCCCCTCCCCAAATCCCTTCCCTCTCCCCTTCTATTTTAAATGCACAGCAACCTGGGTCACTTAGGTTCTGTGCAGATGGTGTAGGATGAAAAATACTAATGTACTGAAGGGCATGAGGAGACCAAAGACTTTAAAAATACATCTTTTCATGGAAGCTAATAGAGGAATTTCAGAGTTAACAAGATTTTAAAGTGCTGTCCTTAAGAAAAGCACGAGTGCAGAAATGTGACTGGTTTTATGGGACAGCCCTCTGTCCTTGGCCAATTAGTCTTGAGCTTTGTGGGCAGAGAGATGGTCTTTTTTGATGTCTACTCCTGTGGAGATGTGGGGCCCCAGAGTCGGGGGGGGGGGAATGACGGCTGAACTAATTCAAACTAGACAGCAGGCTGGCTGGTGAGTTCTGTTGCAAAGTTCAGCCTGTAGGAGCTGTGCTGCCTTTCCTAAGTTATTTGTGAGACGCTGGAAAATGACAAAGCACTATATAACTTAAGTCTTTACAAATAATTAATGAAACTGAGTACCTTGGCTCAAACCTGTAATCCTAGCTACTTGGGAGGCCGAGATCCCTGTTCCAGGCCAGCCAGGGCAAAAAAGTTTGAGAGATCTCATCTAAATGGAGAAAAGCTGGATGTGGTGGTATATACCTGTCATCACAGTAGGCAGGAAGCTTAAAATAGGAAGATCTGACCTGGGCAGAAAGCGAGACCCTATCTCAAAAATTACCAGTGCAAGAAGACTGGAAGCGTGGGTCAAGCCCTGAGTTCAACCCCAATACCACAAAAACATTAATTAATGACCTGAAACAAGGAAGTATTAGTGAGAGTGGCAAAAGTTGATTTTTTCAGGCCAATCAGTTTAAACTCTGTAAGACTATTAATATTTCTGACATATAAAAAGTAACACTTCTTTCTTTGGTGTGTGTGTTGGGGGGTGGCTATTTAATTTTAAATGCATATGGAAACTTAGGGCAGGAAATTCTGCAGTGTGTTAAATAAATTTACTCCTATATTTCATTAATTTTGGAGGGCTCTTATGACCCAGAATTCAGCACATAAAAGAATCCTTGAAAAGCCAGGGGTAGTATGGAGGTCAAGCAAGAGGACATATTTGATTGCAAGGTTTGTTGGAAATTGTTGTCCGAGGTTGTTGAAGGTTTTTTCGTTTGTTTGGCCTAGGGATGTTTTTGTTTTTTCTTTTGTTGCTTTGACTTTGTTTTGTCTTGGGGGAGGGGCATGTGTGATGTAAATCCTGACCATTGGGGGTGGTAGGTGAGTCTACTTCTCTTGCTGGAAGGAAGCCATCCTGGTCCTGCTTTGTGCTGTCACCAGGCTGCGTTCTTCTGTCAGTAGTGAGCCTGGCTCCACCTTTGGGGCCAGGCCTTGTGAAACCTTTGATTGCATTCATTCCAGGCACTTGGCACAACTCCTGGCTCCCAAAAGGAATCTCACATTGGGCTTCTTTCTCCCCGTTTTAGGAGAAGGTAGAAGAGTTACTCTAAAATTGTTAAGAAATGGATCCCTGTTAAGACAGACCCTAGAGAACTGGATTTCACTTTTTGAAAAATACTCATTGCCATGCAGTGAGTTTAAATCTGTGTTCAGGACCTTGCTGACCAGCATCACAGCCTGATAACCTCTTTTTTGTTTGTCACTTTGTTTTTCAAGAATATGCTATAACTTACTTGTTTTCTTTAACTTTTCATTTTGAAATGAGCATAGCTTCATAGGAAGTTGCAAAAATAGGAGGGAGATTCTGGGTAGCCATTCTGCCCACTGGTAACATTCCACATAATCTTGGTACACTGGCAGAACCAGGACACCGACACTGGCACAGCCACAAAGTGTATTCAGATTTCTCCACTTTCACACACACACACTTCTGTATGTGTGAATGCATTTATGAAAATCTTTTACATGTGTACTTTGGATAACTACCACAGAATCAAAATGCAAAGCTGTTCCTGCTCTTCATGATGTCACCCATTTGTAGGCACACGTGCCTTCTTCTCCTTTTACCCATTCTGTCCCTCAGTGCCAGTAGCCCCTAATCAGTTCACTATATCTATAATTTTGTCACCATATAGTTACGTGAGTAAAGCTATGCAGAATGTGGCCTTTTGAGTTTGTTTTTTCACTCAGCATTATTTCCTTGAGATCTTTTCAGATTTCTGCTGTATCAGTGGTTTGTTCCTTTTTATTGCTGAGTTTGTTCTAAAATACGGGTGTTCTATGGTTTGATCACACACTTTTTAAAGGACATCTGTGTTGTTTCCGCTTTTTAGTTGTTACCCATAAAGTAGTTGTGATCATTGATACACAGGTTTTCATACGGACGTGATTTATCATTTGTTAGGATAGGTGCCCAGGAGTGTGATGGCTAGATTATATAATGTGTGTTTAAGTTTTCTGAAAAATTGCCAAACTTTCCTGTAGTCGCTGTACGATTTTACTTTCCTATGTGCGCTATGCGAGCGGTCCGGCTTCCCTGCGCCCTCACCAGCACCACCTTTTCGTGTTGTCACTATTTTTTGTTTTCAGCTGCCCCATAGCTGTTTCAATAGATGCTTTAGTCTTCCTGTGGTTTTATTTGCACTTCCCCAGTGGCTGACAACTTTAGGCATCATGTCAGTTTTATTATTTGCCCGTCATGTGTCCCTTTGGTGAAGTGTCTGTTCTAACTAGACTTTCTAACTAGACTGTACTTTACTTCTAAGCTTTGAGAGTTCTGCATACAGTCGAGACATGAGTCCTTTGTCAGATGTGTGGCTTGCATTTTCATTATTCCCAGGACACAGCTTGTCTTTTCATTTTTCTTCTGGGACATTTTACAGAGCAAAAAATTAAAAAACTTCTTTTGTCAGTACTAGGGATTGAACCCAAGGCCTTGCATGTGTTAGGTAGTTGCTCTACCACTATGCCCTCTGCCCTTTTTTATTTTTATTTTGAGACAGGGTCTCACAAAGTTACCCTTGAACTCAGGTGGCCTTGAACTTGTGATCCTGGTGCCTTAGCCTCCTGAGTACCTGGGATTACTGGCTAAAAGCTTTTAATTTCCATACAGTGCACCTTACTGATATTTTCTTTATGGATTATGCTTTGGCGTCACATCTAAGAACGACTTTCTCCTGTGCTTTTGTTTCAGTTTTACATGGTCTTCCTCCGACTTTGTGTCTTGCCACTGATCTTACGAGCTGTCTGTGAAG